GGAGAAGAACGAAATGTTCTTCTACGTCAACCCTTCTACACTACATGATCAACAAAGAGATAGACGCTTACCTACCAACATCGCAAATCGCCAAAGCTAGTCTAGCTCTGATAGAGGAGATGTGTCTATGGGAGAAACCAAAAGGTGGACGTAAACCTCTCGCCAAACAAGAAGCGAACATCAACATGAACACCCCACAACTAGCCCCGTCGTGCTGCCGAGGGACACCTTTCACGCTGACCTCGCGAGCGAAGTGGTCGAAAGTGCGACCATCACCAGCGGCACCTGCCACCATGTTCAAAAATTTAACAGTTTTATCCAGAAGTGCGGAGTAGAAGGAATCTTTGGATGACGAGCACGAGAAAGAATCATAGATTTCGAAAACACGTCTAGAGAAGTCAATGGCCAAAAGGCTCTAGTGTTCGCCGTCCTTGTGCACCGGTGCCAAGACGAGGTCATGAGACAGGAGGTCGACATCTTTAGCCCATCTGAGAACAGCTGCCGGACCTCGCTGAAGCAGTGAAGAGGCGAAGGAGTTAAAGGTGTATGTCTTTATGGTAGCGGCAGTCCGGCCGCAGTCATCCCGTAGCATCGCCATGTAGAAATTGACAACCTCATCGTTGAGCTCCCCGGATCTATCCACGAGTGCGACGATGTCCTTGACGGATATCTGTAAATTGTGCGATGGCAAATGCGCGACGATGATAGTGAGCGGCAACCGGGAGCAGATAATGTCTTCAAGGACCGCACTTCCATCTCGAGGAAACCCTGTTCAACAAACACCCGCAGCACACAGCAAGCACAAAGGACGGGGCACTATGAGAAAATGCCGTCCTAGCGGCCATGGTCCGAGGAACCGCTACGCTGTGGTCCGAAAAGTTCACGCATAACGTCACCCTTACTTCTGGACCTTCTACACACAGTTGATTCTAAACTAGCACTGTCCTTTATATCCCTGCAAGCCTCGAGAAGGAATTCCTTGTTGTCTTTTTCGGCAACACCCGCTGCCTCTGCAACGAATCTTGCGCGGGAGCCCAATACGGCCACGACTACCCTTCAGGGAGGGCCTCGAGGCTTAGTGTCCCCAGGAAACGCATCAGTGACATTGCGACGATCAGTGCCTCCCGCAACCAGGACTGACAACCTGGCGAGGGCAGGCGGCTCCTGCGACATGGGTGCTTGTCCACGAGTTCGTCGACCTGTACAAGAAATAGCCACCCAGACAGTTCAGCAGGAGATCAACAACACAAGTTCGCAAGAGCAACCAAACAAACAGCACCTCACGAAGCACATCGTCACAATCCAGTTGGCGACCTCCTATACACCTCCCCGAAATCGACGAAGCAAACAACACTTCACGAACGGGCAGACGAGCGGGAAGAAAGCAGAGAAAGTCAGTGCTTACCAGGCCTAGCTACCACTTCACCAGAGCCCACCGATTGGCACCCCTGCGCGCGTCGACGAGGCGACGACGTGCTCCAAACCCACAGGGAAACTTGACAGGCTCGAGATGTCGGCGTCGATGACTGTAGACGGTATATTCATCTCCGGACAAAGATCGTCGACGTCCACAATATCGGCAGGTTGTGTTTTCTCCATTGCCACTGTGTCGTATTGTGTTGGGCTCAATGTCCCATGGATGTCCAACAACACCTCTCCCCCCCTTAACTTCTTGTCCCCGTACGCTGTGTCTTTGTCGTCGTCACTCAAATAGAGAAATCTATCTCCAACAGCGTCAGAGGCCTTCTTCAGATCGTCCTCCCCCGTCGCCTCGTTGTGAAGGGCGGAGTACAAGGGATCGTCGTATCCCGGCTGAACTGGTAGCTCCATCCCGACGTCCTTGAGTGTTGGATCAATCCGGTCGTCGGCAAAATTGTCCTTGTCCAAAGTCGTCAGTAGTCGACAACCCTCAACGCCTGCCAGTTGAAGTCCTTCGTCCGTATGCCTCGGATGAATCCGAATCACGGTCGTCCCCAAAGATGCATCAGGGAGGGAGATGTTCACAGGGCCTTGGTTCGGATTCATCTGAGCCCCCGCAGTTCCCAATGACGCCGACATGACCGCTTTCACTGGGGAGTCGCTTACGACTGCTAACTCGGCTCCAAATCTGTTGGGCTCGACATTGGAACTGGTCGCCAACTCACCCTCTGTCTGACAGTCCGCCTGCAGCTCCTTGTGGGCTTCCACGCACAACATTACTGCATCCTGACACCAATGGTTTGTCATGGCAGACACGGCTTCCTGGTTCGGATGAATCCGAATTCCGTCGCCAGGGTTTTCGGAAACCCGGACCACCCGTTCGAGTTCTGTAGACAGTCGTGCTCCCTCGATGGCACGGCCTTCGCGGTTCGGATTAATCTGAAATTCCTTTTGAGGCGAAACGGAACACGGTTCCAGCTTATCGCTGCCGGACCCGTGGTATGTTGTCGTCTCGCTTCCCGGAAGGCATTGAGTTCCGGACAACGAGGTCGTCTCCGAGGTTTGGATTGATCCGAGACAATCCGCCAACCGTTTTTGCAGCTGAGCGAAGCATGTTCCATGCTTTGTGACACCCGCCCCGCCAACCGCATCGATAAACTGTGTTTCGCTGGTGGAGCTAATCACATGGTCCTCCTCGCCAGGCCGCGTAATACACCCAGGCCTCAAGCCGTTCCCCGTCTCCATAGAGGTGCGGCCTGTTACCGCCAGAACCCCACCGTCCTCACCGCGGTCGACATCGGCCCCCTGCCCGTCTCCTCTGTGATGCTTTGTCTTCTCTCCGCTGCGAAGCTTCTTCTTCTCTAGGCTGCCCTTTTTCCCCTCTCCGCCGCTTGCGTGCCCCGGAGACCACTGTTTCGTCGAACGCTTTTCACTTCCACCTCCGGTACCTCGTTGCCCGCCGCCTTCACCATCCCCGTCGCCGTCCTTTCCGCGAGACTTGCCCTTCACAACTCCTGCCGGCGGGGTGACCCCAGACAACTCCCAACTCACTTGCTTAATTGACGGGCTTGACGGAAGGGCGTAGAACGCGGAGGACACTTCCAACCATTTATTTGACTGCAAGAACTCGAACAGCGTGTCCGCGTATTCGCGAAGAGCAGGGTCGTCCTTATTTCGTCGATTGACCTCACTTAATCTCTCGAATACCGCCTCGTAGGCGCGAGATTTGAATGTCTCGAGGTCCCAACGATCGTCATATATCCACCCTCCACTTACGTCCCTCACA